GCCCCCCCCCCCGACCCCCCGGGCCCCCCATCCCCGACCCCCCGCGGCTCCCATCCCCGAACCACCGCGGCTCCCATCCCCGGACCGCCGCTCACTGAGGTTTATCTCCGAGCCCCTCAGCTTCTGGGCGCAAGTGGCGACCCACCGGTTCAGGGCGCGTGTCCCAGGGCGGGGGTCGTGCCCGCGAGCCCCTCGCAGGCAGCCCGGTCCGACGGTGGGTCCCCAGTGCCATTGCGCAGCACTGCGCGAAATAAATACGTGAGTCGCCCGACTTTAGAAACTCGTTGGAAACGCGATGCTTGCGGAGGCGGCCGGCTGCGTGCCCAGCCCTGACCCTGGCTGGGGGACACGAGGGTCTCACGGGGCAGCGGGCTGGCGCCGGGGCGGCCGTGCCCATCGTCTCGCGTCAGCCTGCGTTCGTCACCTCGTGGTGCCATCCCGCCTCTCCTCCGAGGTCTTGCCCCAGCTCGTCCCGCGCTCGATCCCGGCTGCAGGGGTGGGAATCACCTGCTGTCGCCCCCGGCCGTTGGGTGTTGCCTTTACTTCTTCCCGCATCGCTGCCCTTTCGGCAGAGCTCAGGCCTTCCTTTGAGAGCGTCCCAGGCGAAGGTCTGTCCCCAGCTCGTCCCGCGCTCGATCCCGGCTGCAGGGGTGGGAATCACCTGCTGTCGCCCCCGGCCGTTGGGTGTTGCCTTTACTTCTTCCCGCATCGCTGCCCTTTCGGCAGAGCTCAGGCCTTCCTTTGAGAGCGTCCCAGGCGAAGGTCTGCGGGCGTCTGCTGGCATGGCCGTGCCCCCTCTAGTGTTGCCTGCACACGTTCCCTGCGCGTCTTCTCGCTCTGGCTGCGTTGGTCTGGGTGCTCTCTGCTGCTCTGGTCCACGGCTTTGCCTGGGAAGGGCTGCGTCCTCTCCAAGCACTGCCGGGGAGCTCAGCTCGTGGAGAAGATCTGAAGCATCCCCTCAGGGGACAGCCCAGCGCAGGGCTGGGAGCGCTAATCCAAGCCGGAGGGCGAATTTTGGGTGGGAGATGCGGTTACAGCGAGCCTGTGAGGGGAGCAGCCAGCCGCTCGTGGCAGCTGGTGACGTGGGGATGGAGCTGCTCTGCTCGGGCTTCGGCAGGGGATGCGAGAGAGACGTGGAGCAGGAACTGTGCGCCTTAAACGCGGAGGGCGTACCCGGGCAGCAGAGAAAAACGGCCCTTGGGATGGGGTGAGCGTTTGTTCAGGTGCAAAGCCAACGCATCCAGCCCCTTCTGTTCAACACGTTTCTCTCTTGCTCGTTTTCTCTCTTCTTCGTGGGAACAGTTTCGTAGGGGTGGGTCATGGCGGATGCGCTGCCCTGTCCTCGCAGCTCTAGCCACAGGGATGCTGCAGTAACTGCCCCTTCACTGCTGTGCGGGATGATGCTCCTTATCCAAGCAGCTCTGCTCCAACTTGTCGTGCCTCAGGATTACAGTTTCGTGCTCGGCTTATGCCAACCAAAGTCTGATTTTGGTTCAGTTCAGCTGATCGAGCTGGAGACCCGCTTTGGGAAGGGTACAAGGAGGAGAAAGGCAGGGGCCAACCCCTTCTGCAGAGACATGGATTTAGATCAGCTTAAACCCGTCA